TAAAAGACATCAAAAACGCATTATTTGATGCGTTAGCTCGAAACCGCACTATTAAACACATTTATATAAATAAAAACCGCCTCAAAAAATGATATGGTAACCGCATCATTTGTTTATTCTTTCCCTCTAAAATTTCATTCTAATTTTTCATTTCCCCCAAACTTTTGATTTTCTAACAAACCAAAATTTTCATTTTCCCTCCTGACTCTTCGATCTAATAAACGCATCATTGAAGAATGGGAATCGCATCATAAAAGCACCTGTACCTTTATTGTGTGAGTGTTTTTCCCCCTTTGCAAACAAAACAAAACACATAAATTCTGTTCTTCTTCCTTACGTTCTTTTTTTTTCTACTTCACGTTCGGTGGTGTCAAGTTGCTTAAGATGGAACAAGGGTGGCGGATCAGAAATCTGTAGGCGATGGTGGTGCTTGGATGGTTCTCGGCAAAGGCAGGGGGTTGTGGTGATGTTCTCGGTGGTTAGTGATGGAGATGACAGGTACATAGATAAACCAACTTCTTTTCTTCTTCCTTTTCTTTTTCTGATTGACTTTTGGTGGCGTCGGGCTGTGTAAGGTGGAATAATGGTGGTGAATCGGAAGTATGTAGGAGATGATGACGCATGGATGGTTCTCGGCAAAAGGTAGGTGCTCTATGGTAGGTGTTCTCGGTGATTAGTGGTATAGATGGCAGGTGGTCGGAGGTGGCGAGATGGTGAACCGAAGGTGAAGCAGATCGACTCAATTTAAAGATGCTCTACGGTGGTTAATGGTGGAAAAAATGGTGCCTTGGTGATTGATGTGTTCTCGACAACAAACAGGTATCTGAAATGATTGTGGTTTCGGTGGGTGTTTGATCTGGTCTAGATGGCATCTGGCCTGATAGCTTCAAGGAGGATGGATTTGCCCTCCCACCATACAAATGGAACTGCAACGAGCACCGTTGATCGGAAGTTTATGCACCAGAACAAAATCTATTTTTTGGTGCGAATGTGGGAGGTTTTTTTTTTGGTATTGCATCTTTATTTGGAGCGGTTTTTATTGTTTTTTGGTGCGATTTGTATTATCCCAATATTGTTTTTTTGGAGCGGTTTTGGTTATTTTTTGGAGCGGTTTTGTAACCGCATCATCAAATAAGGGTATTTTCTAATGCGATATTTTTTGGTGCGGTTCAATAACCGCACTAATAAATCATTTTAACCGCATCAAATGCTTTCTGTACTAGTGATTTTTCTTCTTTTACGGTTAATGAAATTAGTAACATTTTTTTCTCCACATTGGGATATATATATATATATATATATATATATATATATATATATATATATATATATATATATATATATATATATATATATATATATATATATATATATATATATATATAGGTTCTATGGAAAACAAAAAGCTCTAAAAATCATAAAAATGCATAAAAAAAATACTTAGAGATCACAAAACTTTTTTTTGAATTTTTTTATGAAAAAATCGCATGTTTTTTAAATAAATTCAGGAACCTTACACCTCCTCAAATGGAAGTTTCTAGGTCCTGATGATTCTTGACTAATCTAGACTCTTCTTTATTATATACATGGCCTTTACAAGACTCTAGAATATGATATACTTGTCTATGATGCTCTAAAAATCTCTAGGTCGTCCCGATATTATCCAAATCGCTCTTGTATGATCTAGCGTGTTCTAGATCGTTACAAAGTCTTCCGGGTCGTTCTAGCTTCGTCTAGTGCCTTCGTGATTATTCCAAATCGTTCTCCTTTGTTCCACAGACATCTATAATATTCTAGCATCTTTCAGGGTCCCGTAGAGCATTCTTGATCTCTCCGGAGACTTCTTGAGTATACTTGATCGTTCCGGAGTTCTCTAGACGATGGTGGAATTTTCCAGAAACTTGGTCTGTGACAAGTAGCCATGATTTCCACCACCACCACCACCGCCGCCGCCGCCACCACCACCGCCACCACCACCACCACCACCACCAAGATGTGAATAACCATGCAAACCCGCTTGACAACATCGACGTCTTTTATTATCTCCAGTTGATGTGCTGGTTAACCACACACGCTACAACAATAATGATAATTTATAATTTGTACCATCATTCAACTTTATAGTCTCAAATTAGTGTTCCGGTTAGCCACACATGCTCCACTAACGACATATAAAGAATGATGTGTATTTTCATGGATTAGCATACAATTTCTCATTTTTCCTAAAGTAACTAGAGTGAGATTTTAAATAAGACTCTAGTACTTTATATCATTATACTTTTAATGAGGCTATGTCTTATCGAACCCGTTCTGCTAACAACCTGATAGGTTTTATAGGTTACAAAAATTATGTGCTTGCGGAATTTCACTTAACAATTAAGGGCACATGCAACCTTAAGTATCTATATCATACACTTTGAATGCAACATACTATGAACAAAAAAACTAACATGAACCCTAATTGAAAACCTAGTATAATCAAAAACAAAAGAATTAGGGTTACATACCTTTGATTTGTTGTAGTAAACAAATCACTTCAATCTTTCCTTTAAAGAGCTTGGAAAGCTAGTACCAAAAATATGATGTCTCTAATGGCTCACACCCAAACCCTAGAACTAGAAGACAATTAAGGAGAAAGGAGGAGAGGAAAATTTCATTCCTAAGGCTTATGGGAAGTGCAGAACGAAATTAAGATCATAAAGGGGTCCTATTTATAGTTTAGGTAACCAAACAAGATTTGAATAGATTTAACCCTAATCTAAATCATTTTCTTATATGCATCCACGAGGCTTCTGGAAACTCGAAGGAGGCTCCCAAAATCGTCCACCCCTTGGATGGTTCTAGAATTGTTTCTTTTGTTCAACTATTGAACAATTACAATTCGCCCCTTTCACCTTTAATTAATTACAAATAATCCCAAATTATATCCAGATTAATTCCGATTGATCATTACTTAATTCCAATTGATTTCTTATTAATTAATTAACCTTATAAATTAACAAATCAATTGTTTAACTATTAATCTCATATTAATTTATTAAGCACATAATAAATTAATAAATCAACTATCTATTTCCAATTTTCAAATCGAAGGTTTCTATGATATTTCATATGCATTCTCCAAGTGTGTGAAATTTATTTGCATCTAAATGATTTAAAATGGTTACATTAGCTCTATTACATCTATTTAAAACGATTGGGTTTAACGATTAATGATCTAATTTTATAATTGTCACACATTGCTTCCATCGCCCTTCGACAACCACCTGTCATGCCCAGTGACGAATCTAGAACCCAAAACCACGTGGTTCCTTATGTAAGTGAAACCGAAAAAATAAGAGAGTAAATAATACTAGTGGCAGGATAGTGCCTGGAGGAGGGGCGGTGTTGGGCCGGTAGCGATGGTTGGACGGCGAACGACAGATGGGTGGAAGCGATCATCAGGACGACATCGTATGATGCTTCAAGGATGTTGATCAATATTGTCTCAACCTAAGCGACGTTTCATATTTCAAGCATTTTTTTTGCTATTTTATCCTTTTTTGTTTAATTTTAAATGGACTGGACTTTTGTCTAATTATTACATTGTAAGTGGATCGAAGCATTGAGCTATTTTAAGTGGATTGAAATATAAAATATAGGGTTTATACACTTTGATCCATTTTTCTTTTTAGCAAATTTTATAAGGTAGGTCTTTGAAAATTTATTAGGTAGTTCCCCTTTTTTTATGCACAATTTATACTATTTTTTTATAAAAATAGGACCCACCTTCACAAAGCATAGATACGCCCATGGTCATACCCTTTATAAAATTGAAAATCATCCAACAAGGTAGTCAAATCAGAGAATTGTCTAGACTCACGCCCCCTTCTAAGATGTCTCGACCATCCTCATTAACAATCTTTCCTCCACTAGACAATCCTTCTTCCTATCAATTGTATAGAGGTTAGGATAAACCTCTTTAAGAATGTTTTATCACTACCAACAACCTTATTAAGCTAGCCAACAAGACGTGCCTTTTCAAACCTAATGTCAATTTAAGAAATAGTGGACTATACACCTTCTATGCTCTTTTTTGAAACAGCCTTCCCATCTTTTTTTTGGAACAAGCATGACGTCGGGCAATATTGGTCGCGATAACGTTTTTTATCGGTGAAATGGGTCGCTTCTGAGGATCACATCGAGGAGTAGCTGGTCGCGATCTTTTTCACCAAGCAAGTGCAAATTGCAAGTTGGATTTCACCGGTGAACTTGGCTGATGGCCTTGCCATGACTTTCACTTGGTCATAACAACCTCGATATCGTTGTTGCTCGTCCACCTGCGGGGTGCCTATGGTGCATCAGTCCCACCCTTCCCATCAATTATCTTAATATTTTGAATCGCCCATATGGGTGAAAACTAACTATCAATGCTATTCACATATGGCACACAAATTTATTGTTGTCAAACAAAATCGATTAATTGCAACACTTAATCGGTGATGACTTCAATAAACTTGGAATTAATATAAGCCGAATGCTTTATAGAAGGTGGGTGCGGGAGATAAAAACACTGTTTTAATTTGGCTCGACGGACACATGTATAATTGACATTTGCATTTCTAGCATGTTTTGTGGTTCATTGATCAAGACAAACGAATTGGGTATAAAGCGTCTCTTCATAAATGTATATTTGTAGGTTTTGAGTTGTCACGTTTCTTGGATTTTCTTGAGAATTATCGGAATTTTCAGTGTTCAAGAATGTTAAAAGATAATGCAGATATGGATGTGTTATTGGTGAACAACATTCAAACATAAAAAAACAGGAAATCTTTGTACTTTGTATTATTTGCTAACTAAAAACCGTTAAGATTCTTGGATTTCGCCTCCATAAAAACCCTATCCATCATTGCATCTTTCTGTTGTGCCCCTAACACACTCACGCTTATACATTAAAAAAATACACACACAAACACACAAAGTTAAACTAAAACATGGGTTCTTCAAGATGGTGGAGAAAAATGGCTACTGGTCTCTCTGCATTGCTTCTTTGTCTTGGGTTTTGCTTTGGACGTGGAGGTAACTCCTTTTTACGTGGTGAAATACAAAATTTAAAGACTTTTAGCTAGCCCCCTTCTAAATTTTTATTTTAATAAAGGTATTTCATACGATCAATATATATGAAATCATACAACAACTTTGATAAATTATAATCAATTTTCTAAAATTCAATTCCACTTCTTATGTTTCTTAGCTAGCTCGATCCCTGTATCAGTTTCTCCACTTCTTATGCACCTACCGATCTTCCTCGATCATATTATTTCACATATTTGGAAATGTGCATTGATTCTAGCAAAACTACTTTAAAGAAGAGTAGATGCACCTCTTTCATTCTTTTCTTTATCATCAAAGATACTTAGGAAACGTTAGTTAAAACATGAAAGATGTGAATTTAAAGAAAAAGGTCTACAGGTTGTTTTCTAATTTTTTTTATAGAAAATAAATAAAGAGAATATCTGTATTGAAACTATTGATGATTTACTAATTATGTAATTAATTATTTTCTCACATAAAGACACAGGCTTCCCTTTTATACACCAATCAACAGCAGCTCCGATGGTGTCATACTACGATTACATTATCGTCGGCGGAGGCACCGCCGGCTGCCCGTTAGCTGCTACTCTCTCTCAAACCTACTCCGTACTCGTCCTCGAACGCGGTGGCTCCCCATTCCGGAACCCCAACATCACCCACTTATCAAGATTTGGAGCAGCACTCTCCGACCTCTCCCCCAAATCCCCTTCTCAACGCTTTGTCTCAGAGGACGGCGTCATCAACGCCAGGGCCCGGGTGCTCGGCGGCGGAACATCCCTCAACGCCGGATTCTACACACGTGCCGGCTCACCATACATCGCCAAGGCCGGTTGGGATGCCAAATTGGTGAACGAGTCGTACCGATGGGTTGAAAAAGTGGTGGCGTTTCAGCCGCCGTTGAGACAGTGGCAGTCGGCGGTGAGAAATAGTTTGCTGGAGATCGGAATACGGCCTTACAATGGCTACACGCTTGACCATTTGTACGGAACAAAAGTTGGTGGCACCATTTTTGATGGATATGGGCGGCGGCATACGTCTGCTCACTTGCTCCGTTATGCGAACCCTTCAGGGATCACTGTTTTCCTCCATGCACCTGTTCAGAAAATACTATTTACAACAGAAGGTGAGCGTCTCTTGTTGTAAATCATGCATTAAAAACAGTACATTCATGACCCTTATCGTAATTTTATATACATGCAGGAAAACCAAGGCCAACAGCAGATGGGGTGATCTTCACAGACGCAAGTGGGCTTAATCACTGGGCTTATTTAAGAAGAGGTCCTAATAGTGAAGTGATAGTTTGTTCTGGGGCACTAGGAAGCCCACAACTTTTAATGTTGAGTGGGTTGGGCCCAAAGAGACACCTTCAGGCCCATAACATATCTGTGGTATTGGATCAGCCATTGGTGGGCCAAGGGATGTCTGATAACCCGATGAATGCGGTTTTTGTCCCCTCTCCTAGACCCGTTGAGGTGTCTCTCATCCAAGTCGTTGGTATCACTCACAATGGAAGTTATATCGAGGGTGCTAGTGGTGAAAACTTTGGTACTGATCAAACTCAAAGCACTCGAGATTTTGGGATGTTTTCTCCAAAGGTATATATAACTCTTTGTTAAAAATTTCATTACTGTTTCTTTTTTTACTTAATGAGCTAAGTTGACCACTTAATGTCAATAACTACGTATGGTTGTTTTTTTTTTTTACTTAATCTTGACACGACGACTTAATATGGTAAGCCAAAAAAAAAATCCAACATAATATATCAAGTCACTAACTTTTTGCCCATTTTGGTTTTTTTTTTCACCACCCAACTTCTCTCGCAAAAGAAATGAAGAATATTTGTTAAAATTGATGATATTGAGAAATTTTCTCATGTGCAAAAAAAATTGTCGTTTAATCACGTTCAAACTGTTTATTTAGTCCAAAATGTACATCGATACCCATACAGTTGAAATAATTTTTTTTTGTATTTCCAGATCGGACAATTCTCAACTTTGCCTCCAAAACAAAGAACACAAAAGGCGTTAGATAGGGCAATACAGGCAATGAGGTTCCTCCCACGAAGTGCATTCGTGGGTGGGTTTATCTTGGAGAAGATTATGGGCCCACTCTCAAGAGGCCATCTTCAGCTTCGAACTAAAAACCCAAATGACAATCCTGCAGTCACATTCAATTACTTTAAAGATCGTGGAGACTTAGAAAGATGTGTTCAAGGGATCAAAATGATTGAGAAGGTGATTGAATCGAGATCATTTTCAAGATTTCGCTATAATTATCTCCCAATCTCAAGCCTTCTAAACATGACAGCTAATGCACCTGTTAACATGTTGCCTAAACATGCAAATGCATCGAGGTCTTTAGAACAGTTTTGTAGAGATACAGTGATGACTATATGGCATTACCATGGAGGATGTCATGTGGGGAAAGTGGTAGATCGTGATTATAAGGTTATTGGTGTTGATGCTCTTAGGGTTATCGATGGATCAACTTTTGATTATTCTCCAGGAACTAATCCTCAAGCTACTGTAATGATGCTCGGAAGATACATGGGTGTTAAAATGTTGCGCGAGAGGTATGCAAAAAATGAAACTTATTCATGATTGTGTACATATTATTCTTTGATGGACAAACAAAAAAAACATTTGTTCTTCAAACACTTGATTTCTTTGAGCAATTAGTTTAGGGTTTTGTAAATACTTACAATTATATATTATAAAATTCTTCTGTATATTAGTTTAGATACATGCATGCATGCTTATTACAAAAGTTTTAAAGAATAATTTACCTACATATGTGTCTAATAGGATTTGGTTGAACAAGTTTGGCGTTGACATGTCAAATATGGTTACATTTACTTTCAAAATTAAATAATCAATATATTAAAAATAATAGCCAACCATACAAGAGGTTATAATTTGTAAATAGTTGCTTAAGCTGTAGGTAGTTTTTAATTTTTTTTTATTTTTTGCTGCTAATTTGATCATCTCATATATAGTTATCTTCATTTTAACCATTTTTTTCCAATACAAATTTAACAAATTTGTTTTTTACTTAAGTTTTATTTTGTGTGCTAGCCGAAAAGCTAGTTTTTAGCTTTTAAGTTAGCTTATCTCGTGAATTTGTTTATTTGTTTGGATGTGAAAAACATATATTATGAACGGGAGATATCAAAGCATGAAATATATCACCAACTTAAATGTTTTAAATTTGAATTCCAAACTTTTGTAGTGCCAATTGAGTTAACAATAATGCTTAATGAAAAAACAAATGTTTTATCTTTAAGATTTCTATAAATTATCTCTGGCTAAACATAACGTGTTTCGGGTGTATTGAATTGACCTGCAACTAATATCAAAGAGATATACTATAATAAATGAAGATAATTTTAACGCATGTCAATCTCTAATGAGTTTTGACACTTGTCATTTTGTGATATTTTTTAAATAAATAATATTCACATGTTAGTTTATGGTTTTTTTCAATTTTTAAAATTAAAAACTCACATAATACTTATACTTATATATGTAAAGTATCAAATGTAATAAATATTATACTAAATTGCAATTAATATGTTTCTTCATCTCTTATTTCAAAATTTTATTTTAAAAAATACTTATTATTTATATTTTAATATTTTTTTAATCAGTCCGTGTATTTACACGGGTTTTACACCTAGTATTGTAATATTTGTATATCACCTAAAAATGTGGAACAAGGTAGTACGTGAACTTCCTCTCAGTTTCTCATAGATTGAAAAATTCAATAATGTGTTCCTCATCCTCATTATTGACAATAACCCTTTTAGGGATCAACTAATGTGCACATATTTATAGCACACTTTAAGGGATAAACAGATATGCACTTGTTTATAGCTAGCTAGTTAAGGGGAAGCATCTTCTTCCATCACCTTTATATATCTTTTCCATCTGTCCCCACACAAAGACACGTGATGGTGTATAAGAACATTCAAGTGTTTATATCATGCTTCAAATAGAATCTAACACTTTTTCTGAAATGAAGAAGCTTTGGCTCTCTAGGAATCTATATCTCTCATGGGGATAATATCCATGGTATAAACCATAGGTGCCCATAGGCATATCCTATTTCTTAATGGTTTATGCAATAGAAAAAACATGTATATAAGCTCTAAGTATGATCCTTAGGGCATGATCATGCCCAAGTAGAAATCTACAACATTAAGGTCAAGTTTTACGATCTAATAAGCAAACTAGTTTTAGGGTTTCTCTTCTTTTGGCAGTTGCATACTTGGTGCTTAATAATGATCAACTTTGATCTTGAATTAGGAAATTCTTTCTCTAATATATACATTTTACTGCCAAAGGAGAGTTGCCCTTTGACTCTTTTGTTTACAACCATGAATGTTCATTTAGGTCAAGCTTTCAAGCATTACATCACGTAGAATCAAAGGTATGATTAATAAATATCATTATAAAAATTTGGCATATGTATATGTTGTGTGTTCTTTTGGACATTGGGTGTATTCGGGGCACATAAGTATATAAGAGCACTTCTATTTACAAGCAATCAACTTTTTAGTTTTCCACATGTTATAAAAGATTGTAACCAGATTTTTGTGACATATTACATAACCTCCTTGTATATAACATCAACGAACACAAAAAATTCACTTAATGATCACAAAAGCTAAAATATTAAATACTTACAAATAAACAGGGTTGAAGGGTGAGGGGATTTTGTATGAAATTATATATGAATCAACTTTCTGATGCAGGGCATCCAGGGAATGGCTTTCCAAACGATCAAAGGAAAAAAGACGATACAGTTTTGGCACTTTTAGCCGTAGTGACAGAAGAAATTCTCGTAATAGTCAAGGGTTCCATCGTAGGGGTCGAGTGCCCCATCATCGGGCTCAAAATGAAGATGACATAGGGCTAAACTGAAACCATTGTACGACTACGGTCAGGAATTGTAGCATTATGATTGGACGCCTAGAAATGGTCTGTTTTGATCCTCTTTTGGGCTTCATTCTTAACTGTGTTTTTTGGTTAATTCTTGAGGTTTTCCATAGCTTATTTAAGTTATTTGTTTCTTTTACATAAAGAAATTCTATTATTACACATAATAGCATAGGCATTGTTTTTATTACATATGATTTTGGTAACTAAACACTTTGAAGAGTTCCTAAATTTGTATTGGCTAATTCCGTCTTTTTAGTTCATTAAGCATTGTCGGTGCATTTTAATTTGTGCGTATGATTAGCACTCTCATTTATTTTGATGATAACGAATATGAAGCTCTTATCTTATTTTTTTTACTAACTGTTTGCTTGGTGTGAAGGTTTTTATTTAAACGGTAAAATGATGATGATTTTACAAATCAGTACTTCATTTCTACATTGGATGTTTTGGGTCCGTAATCAGGAAGCTTGACAACGAAGATTAAAATCCCGACATCAACCGAAGAATTCAAGTAAAGAAATATTACGAAGGCGAGTTGGAATCCTTCATTAATAATTTTAAATGTAATTGCTTCCTAAAATAATTTATAGAAAAATAACACAACATCAATCCATGATCCATCATTTATGTTTCCTCATTTACAAGCGGACCAAATCCTAATCTTAGGGGTTGTTTGGTTGACTTTTGTGGAATGTGGGGATTTGGATCCAGTTTCACCCTTCATTTTCTATGTTCGGTTTAACTTTTGTTAAGGAATAACAGTCCTAAACGATTTTTTTCCACGAATGAGGGGAAAGCTCATTCTTCTATCAATAGAAGGAATGAATTAATTCCAACTAAAGAGGGAAAATGAAAGATTATCAAATTACCCTTGCTCCTTTCATCACCACCACCTCCACCCAACTTAGATAATTTTCGAACGATATAGACATTTGCGACTATTCCATGCTTCCTACATACCGCCTACAACCCACCATATCAGAACGTTTTGGGAAATTTATAACATAAAACGTACATGAAAGTCTTTCAAGAGAATTCATATTAGGGTTTCCAGCAAAATCATTCAGTACATGAAAGTTTTATATCATTCACTGGTATTCCTTTCTTCCTATTTCCAGTATTTCATTCTCATTCCCATTCTTGTTACATTCAATTAAAATTCACTTTCAATGTCATCATCAACACACCAAAAATTAATGCACAATATCCACACAAGAACCCTTCTCACTCAAAGTCCGATTAGTGGCGATAATAAACCCAAACCCTCGCCTTTATGTACTGCCAAAATTAAAAGTCGACAACGCCACAAGAGAGTTATTTATAGACAACACCATCTTTGCTCATTCCCTTTAGGTATTTTGTTTATCTTCCTTAATCATTATTAATTATATAAAATATTTTTTTCATATGATTTTCATTAATAAGAAAATATATACGTAAAAGAAAATAACATATATATAAATCTGTAGGTGAACCATAATAATGTTTCTATAAGGATTTATTGACTATAAATAATATTCTTCATAAAACCAAAATAAAATAGAATAATTCAGATATTAGTTATTGTAAAAATAAAACATGAACAACATACATACAAAACTTATATTTTATGAACCTTGACTCGTAGTTCTAAATTAAGGTTGTGTTTATCGTGCCACAACCAGTTTATTTTCAAGTTTTTTAAATTGTTGTGTTTGATAAACCAAAAATAACTTATAAGTTAGCTTATAAACTAGATTTTAAAAAAAACTACTTAAACTAGCTTTTCAGAAGTTTTTGTTATTTTTCAAATATATCATTAATTAGGTGTGTTCATTTGGATAGATTGATTCGATCCAATCCAATCAAATAAATCCAAATTGATTTTAGTTTTCAAAACATGGATCTGAATAGTCCAAACTAAACTTAAATTAGATTTGAACCAACCAAATTATAATTCGTTGGATCGGTTTTACAATTCGGTTTTCAAGAGGCAACCATTAAAAAAATATACATAACTTATATATTAGTCAACTTTAAACACAAATAAATTGTTTAGTTATGAATTAAAATTTATGAACAACTATTAAGAAAAAATATATTATAATTTGATATTTTATAGATAAAAAACATTTGAAAAGTACACATTAAGGCTTTTGTTGTGGAATACTTTCTAATCAACTTAAAAATACAATTTAGTAAATTAATAAATAATAAAAAGATGGATATTAAGAACAAAAAATATAAATAAATAAATAATAGATTGTTATTAAGTTTTTTTGGACTATTCGATTTTTATTTTATAAACCGAAGAAAAAAAAACTGAAACAAATCTGAAATCCAAAATATTAATTCAGTTTTGCTAAAGTTTATCAAAATATCCAAACCAAATAGTTGAATCCAAATTCCGAATTGGACAATTAGGTTTTATCTAAATATATAGTGAACAATTTTGTCCTTAATTAACGGGAAATCGTCAGAAAAGTCTTAATATTTTCGAAAAAGTTACACTTTAGTCCCAATATTTTTTTTTTTGAACATAAAAGTCTCGAATATTTCATTTTGGCTCAAGTTTACAAAAAAATCTTTTTTTCTTTTAACGAGAAATGACATATTATCGTGTTTTTACAAATAATCGGGACTTTTATGTTCAAAAAAAAATCTTTGGACTAAAGTGTAACTTTCCTGAAAATATTAGGACTTTTCTGATAATTTTCCTTAATTAACTATAAAATCATATTTTTCTAAATGTCTTTTTATGTTATTTTATATTTTTCAGTCAACTTATATCAAACATTGTTTTTTTATCAGCTAACTTTTAAACTAAAAATTAATTTTTTTTAACTAGTACGTCAAACATAGTCTAAATATTAACATTAATTTCTTTTAATATCCCATTGTTTAATTTTTTTTTAAACTGTACAATATTATTAAAACAAAAGCTACCAGGCTGTAGACTTTTAAGTATTTCTTGATATTTAATTAGCTCATGTCGCGTTAAATGTCTTTCATCTAGTGTTCTTGAAGGCGTGCAATGGCGCGCGTCAAGGCACGCCATGGCATGAGGCGCAACTCCACCGTTTCGAAAAGTCTCATGGCGGTGTTGTTAGGCGTGACGTGTGAAAACGCATGATATGGCGTGTCATGACGTGTTATGACACGATTTTTTTCGTTCGAGACACATTTTTTTTGTTGTTGTTATGACTTTTCTAACAAGGCATACAACTATTGAGTTTTTGTTAACTTTTTGCTATTATTATTAATATAACACTTCTAAAAACCTCATATATTTAATATAAATCTATGTTTATTTGATAATATAATTATATTTTAATACAAAATTACCGCCTTACATTACGCCTTGAAAAACGTCATGGCTTCGTCGTGGCTCGTATAACTTGAGATTTGGTCATGCATCCACGTCACGCCTCACGCCATTTAGAACTTTGGCATGGGCGGCTCAACCAATTTGGGGCTCTAACCAAACAAAAAAATTGGGGCCCTTCAAGTAAGCAGACCGTTTCAAACTTGAGACTTTTTGTTTTATAAACAAGTGTTTTTCATGCCAAACTTTAACTTGTCTTTGTAACCCAAGAAATACGTATATATACATATATAACAGAATAAGCTTTAAAATGTGGGCCCTTTAGAATTGGAGCTCTAAGCCCTTGCTTAGTTTTGCAAAGGATAGAACCGACCCTGAACTTTGGTTTCATCTATTTTGGTAAATCGATAATTTACTTTAGTCAATATAGCGTTTTATTTTGTTTTCATTAATAATATAATATTTCTTAATAAGTAAATTTTTGATTTATTAATTAAATAATACACTTTTTAGACTTTTACTTTTAAGAAGACAAAAACTATAAAAAAATGTTTCTTTTGCCGGTATAATTTTTTTTTAAAAAAACAAAAAAAAAACAAGATGTATGTAACCCAAAAGCTGCTTCAAATATCTTACAGCTTTTAATTTTTTTTAGTTTTTTATCTTATTTTACACATTTAAAAACAAACATTAATTTTTTTGAATACTTCTATATAAATAAAAATTACACTGACAACAAGTGTTATATATCAGATAGTAGCTTTCAGTTATCAGATATTGACGAATTTTGCGAGATGTCCTTAAGTTTAGGGGCATGTTCGGCAAAACTAGCTGTTAGCGGGTAGCTTGTAGCTTGTAGCGTTTTGTTAAACGCAACATGAAGCAGCTTTTGGATTTGGAGCGTTTTGTTTAAACTAAACGCTAAAAGCTTGTAGTGTCAAACAAAGTTTTCTGTTCAAAACAGAGCGTTTTGTCAAACGCTAGAAGCTAGAAGCTCTCAAACGCTCCTAACGCTCTGTGCCGAACACGCCCTACGTGTTTAACACTTCCTATAAAAAAATTAAAAACTAAACGGGTTACAATATTGACAAAATTTACACAAAATTGTGAGGCATGTTTGACTTTTAAATTAAGGAGTCATGAATACACCATATCAAAGGAGCATGTGGTAGGTGAGACACAAGCTAGAAACCAAATCTTAATAAGTAAATAAATAAATAGCGGTTTTTTTTGTGTTCTTTTAATCTACAATCAACCTTTGTTCTTTTCATAGGATAGTTTAGTGAAATTATTTTATTAGAACTAAAATATTAATAATTTATAATTTATAATGTGTGAATAGTAGTCTTATTCTTTTCTTTTCAGTTATATGAGTTAAAGTTTATAATATTTATATGACATTTTTAAGTAGAAAGCATGTCTAGGCCACCGGTAATCATTTGGTTTTGCGTTATAGTCAAACTCTTAAACAACGAGACGTCTGATTTGACGACAATATCAAACTTAAGTTTTATGAGTTGTGGACTTGTGGTAAGTCACGACGTTTGCTAAGGCGTAACATAAGACCGACAATTTTATATTAATAATGAATAATTCTATATACTATTATAT